GGCTTCTCTACAGTCCTCTTAGGTGTGAGTGTGTGCGTGAATGGTTGTTTGTCATGTTTGTTTCTGTGTTGACTTGCAATGGACTGGCGACCTGTCCAGGGTGTACGACCCCACTCGGGATCAGCGTGCTAGAAAATGGATGGACCTTTCGGTGCATTGCATCTCCAAGCTATTGCTTCAGTTTTTAAAGAATATTACAGAGCATCCAGACCAGTGTTTTTCATGTTAAAACTTTGCGTTACTTTACTTTCGTTTCTTACATAGCAGCACACCCAGATGTCCCGTTGCTGGAGCCCAACTACAGACTGGATTCAAAGGACAAAACAGGGAACTTTTGCTGAAACTAAAATAAAAAGGTAATAAACAAGTTGAATGGCATTGCTTTACTTTTTGAAATAAATTGCGCTTCGAAGAATAAATATTAAGAATATAAGTTGAATTTTAAGTTTTACAGAAATGCTGAACAAAACATTTCAGAGATGATGACACATTGAGCAGGTAGCCCTTTAATCAAGAACTGAATCAGATTGTGACCAATCATCAGTTCACAACATGCGAGCGAAAATAACTGAAACGGTATTTTGGATAAATTTTTTCCACAGAAACATTTAAACCTTTTTATATTGTTTCTTTTTTATTTTATTTATTTATTTATTTTTTAGGTTTTCTGATTTTACCAAATGAAAATCAGCAACATTAAAAGTAAATAAAAAAAATTCAAAGTAAAACAAAAAAAGATACAAGCATTTTTTAACCATTTAAATCATAATATAGGGTGGTTTTTTTCATTTTAACGGCATCTGCTGATTTAGAGGATTTAGAAAAACCAAAGTAGTCCCTTAATATAGATTTCACCTTAATCCAGCATACCCATAGCAAAGGAACACTATAATCTAGGTTTCCTTCAACAGAGAAGGATAAGCTGGAACTTTTTTTCCAAAAAAAACCCAACAGATAACATAAATTACAATTCTAACTTTCTATTGTAAAATTTGTTGAACAAGGGGGAACAACTTGGACTTAAAACGCATATAAAAGTTTGAGGATCTTTACCTTCACAGGAGTTAGTGTGTTGTCTTCTTTCCTCTCCAATACTTCCACACTGTGGTTAAATATATTTGCTACATATATATGCCTATAAGAGAAAGGGATCATTGTGGCCATGAAGAAATTCACCAAAAGCAACAACAATCATAGCCCTGCCAATAATCCTCACCTTTGGTCAGGAGACATATTGATGCCATTGGCAAAGTGATAACCCTCAGACACCACCTTCACTTCATTCGGACTGTAGTAGACTACGTTGGTCCAGGGCATGAGCAAAAGAATCTCCAAAGTTTTCAGAAGATTGTTAGAGAAGTAGTGATCATTGGTGGCAAAGAAACTCTCCACCCCAACAGCTGTTATATCATTCACACTACAAAGAATAAGAGAAAAGGTCTCATTAAGGGTTAAAATGGGAATGCTAGAGAAGGATTAGAAGTTGTAGATGATTTCAGGGTACCAACCTGTGCAGAAGCTCATGTTTGATGGTTTTCAGGTGCACCAAGGAGGCACCCTCCTCCACATATTTAAAGATCTCAATTTGGCTTCCAAACTGAGGGTGATTAACAACAAAGAGGTAGACTGTATCATCTGACAAAGAAAAGAAACAAGTTAAGCAAAGTATTAGGGCTCGACAGGCCAAGCGTACCAATGAAAACAGAGAAATGGAAACTTAGGACAAAAGAACTCTTCAAGTGCTGCAAATAGAAATGGGAGTGTGTAATTAATTCACATTTATTTTTCATGCTTACTTCACCTTAGGTACAAAAGTAGCGTTATTGCAGTTCTTTCCTTCCAGGTTGGGATGCGATGCTGGAAAAGTTGTTTATAAATCCTGAACTCTCAATTCTCATTTTGGACACAACAATTTTTTTGTTATAACTAACACATTCCTTAATGATTAATTGTGTTCCAAATGAGCTGCTTATATCTCAAACAAACAAAAAAAAAAGGATTTTGTAAAGTCTTCTTTAAGGAACCTATTGATATTCTATTATTATTTGAAAATATAATAATAATAATTGATTTACAAAATAATAGTTAATTACAGCCCTAATATTAAGCATTTTTCATTGAACCTGAGTGTACCATGTTGTTGTTTTTCATGTTTAACAGTCTTGTATGAACATGTGTTCTATCGTTTGTCTGTTTGCATGTCACTGACACATCTGAATTTCTCACGGTTGGAGAATAAACCGCACTTCTATTCCAGCTTATACCAAGCTGCAGTAAACAAAAGCAAGCTCGGCATGAACGTCTTCGTTTGTGCAAACATAAAAGGGTGTAAAACTGCTTTTACCACTTGGATCTGTGAACACGCTGATGCCATGTGGATTGAAGGACTCCAAATCAAAGTTCCTTGAAATACGCAGCTCCACTGGTTTCAGCTGAGGACCTTTGACATCAAGGAGGAAAATTTTTCCTGGCTCATCTGAGGGTGGGAGTCCAGGGTAATTGAGCCCCTAAAGATATTGAAAAAGCAATAAAATAATCAGAAAATCTAACAATCGTAAATCAAACATTAGAATTAACTAAATAACATAAATATATGACCCTGTGCTTTAATTTCCGGCAACTTTGATTTATATTTCTACAGAGGCGTAGCCATAAAGTTTATTAGGGTGGCCAGGCAATAACCAATGTACACTGAGGGGTAGCACCAGAACCTCAGGGTCAATCTACACTCTTCTAACAGGAAAATTAACAAGCTAAACATCCATATTTTCTAAATAAAGAAAAACTATACTTTCCCACAGCCTTTGCTAACAAATAGACGCATATATTTAAACATCTGTGCTTTCTAGATAAAAGGTATAGTGGATAAAATCCTTTCAGGTTTGAGTTCTGAGGTGAACATTGTTTCCATTGTCTTTACTTACCTACTTTTATCAATAATCATTCTGAAAAAAATTGATATTTACAAGTACTAATATCTACATTAATTGATTATTTAATAAGTTTTTATTAAAATAGTTATTATCTATGATTTCACTGAAGACTCCTAGATGACTTGCAGAGATGCATCATTTTCTCTTTACCAATGATGTGACTATAAGTATGTAGTTGCTTAGGTGCCCCCCCGACATCTTAGGGGCCCCGTCACTGAAACCTGGTTCATTAGACAGTTTGTAAAAAATACACTCCTATAATATGTTTCAAACCGCAATAAAGATCTTAAAAGAACGATGTATTTGAGTATTTTATTTTTTACAATACGACTTGGAATTATGGGTAATCCAGAGTGTAGATTAAAAGCATAACCGTTATGTACAATGTGTTAGCGACGATGGATACCAGAGGTACTTAAGCGGATTCCAGAGAAGCTTGTTGTGTCATTACGCCATTGCTCTTTACTAGGGGTGTAAATAATAATCGTTTTGAATCGATGCATCGATCCAACAGCCGACGATCCAATGCATCGATACGTCTGCAAGAGAATCGATTCATGTTTTTGTTTTTTTCCTGCGGTCTATTTTTATCCATTTGCTCCTGGACGAATTTCTCCCTCCTGTGCTGCGGTGGCGCTAAACCTATTTTGCCCTCCTATCTCGCTTCCTACCTCTTACAGCAGTTTGTTGCAGTGAGCTTGACAGACATTTTTGATTTATGCTCAATATTGAAGCCTGGTCTGTGCTACACACTGTGGGTCTAGATACAGACGAGGCGGTGAGGAAGTGGGGGCGAGTTAAGTCCGACGACGGAGGGACATGAGGGCCAAAAAGAGCGGAGATCCAGGTGGAAAAAGGGTCCTAGCGTTCTTGCACACCTCGCTCTTGTAGCGGGTCAAACTTCGCGAGTTGTTTTCAGCAATTTCGGTCATAAAAACAAAACAAGCCGGCCTCCTGTCAGCGGCACTGTTTGGGGTCAGCTACAATTTTGGAGATGTGCAGCGGAGCTTCTGTGGAGGGGGCTGGGACGTCGACACTCTGGAGCCAAGGTATTGAACTGCACTCATTGCACTGATTTTTTGCAGTATATTTTCCAGCCATATCCAGCCATTCAGCAAAGATCCTGCTCACATGGCTGTACATCTTATTTTGGAATTTGACCAATTAGATGAGCCCTCGAATGATATATTACCTACTGTAAAGAAAAAAAAAGTAAAAAGCTCATTGAAAAGTTAAAAAGTTAATAAGCCTCGTTAACAATTATATTTAGGTTTATAAACTAAAAAATGTAAGTGCCAGTATCAGCATTAATCCCTCTAAGGTTATGTTGTACCAAAAAAAATGTGTTCCTTACATTCTAAGAGGGTTTTTCATTAATTTCTTTTAGAAGCACTTTTGTTATTTTTCTTAATATATTCGGGCAAGTTGGCGTTTCTTGGAATTATATTGACTTTCATTTTTTTCCAAAATATCAATAATTTTTGAATGTTACAAAGGTAATAAGGTCTTGTCTTAAATTCCAATAACATTATTGGCTTGAAATTTTGATTTTGAAGTATTTCACTGCCCTATAAAAGGTTAAATGCCACCCCTGGCTCCCCATCTAGCTCCGCCCCTGTGTTTTTACAATGTTGAATCTGCAGGGCTGAGTTTAAGTATAAATACTCACTGAGCTGATAAAGGCAAGCCCGTTGCCAAGAATGGTTATATCCTCCGACCCATGTTCTTGACAAGGAAACAAAACGCACCGTTACTTTAAATGTCACTAAAAATGGCGTAGAAGTGTTTGTTGCTGCATTGCTTACCTATGTTTTTGAGTGCAACACAGTTAGGCAGATGTTGGTTACCCACCTCCCTGAAGGCGAGGTACCTTTTGCTGTGGAGTTTATGCAAAGAAGTTAGACTGAATCCACCAAAAACATAGCAGCTACACAGCTGCTATCCACCTTACCTCATATTAAGGAGCCTTTCCCCGAGCAGCACCGAAAAAGCTGCAATAGCAACCGAAAAGATCACAAGCTTTCCCATTTCCTCACCTCGGCTGCAAACTTATCAAAGTTGCTCCTAATTTTTTACTGCTCAGTCACTTACCCTGGTGGGAAGGGCCGCAATGGGCAGAACTGATGCTGCTTTCAGGAATGTAGGAATTATAGCAACTAATTCACTCAACGACAGAGGAGTTCTGCTCCGTGTTTAATACTCCCAGACTTCGAAATATTTTTACCCAATATAAATCAACCAAAATCTAACACAAATTAATGGTTATCAGAAAGCCAGTTTTAACGTGAAGCCACTGATATTTTTGGTTTCCAACTTCATATAAGTCAGTGAATGCATCATTATTTCAAGACTGAACCAAAAAAATAACCATACACGTTTGGTCATTGATTAAATAAAGGTCTTTTTGATTATTTAAGAAAAAAAAAATATATTTTAGATAGTTTAGAGAGGTGTATATGTATGAGTTCAATTTAACTTTCAAATAGACACACAGTAAGAAACAACACAAAAAAATTGAGGGATTCCTAAAGCCTTCCCTCTTCACCCTCCACTGACTAAAATGAAAGCAAGTTCAAAGGCTATTTCTACCTCTTAAGAAGTTCTTGTAATTGTAGGTCAATTTATTTTGTCAATTAACTTGTTTCGTAGTGTAAACATACAGCAATGGACTAAAGCTGTAAGGTGCAGAGGAAATAGTGCCTTATTATCCCTGTTCTGGGACAGAATATCAATGGGTGATTTCTTATAATTATTGTTTTCTATTCATCTTTTTAGTTTCTTTTGCTGATTTATTGTTATTACTCTAGATCTCAAGAGGAAATTATAGAAGAAAACTGTGTTTCCACTTATCAATTTTAGACCTGCACAAAGAAAAACAACTGGTGCTTCAAAGTAAAAACAAAGTAAAAACAGGTATTTGAAAAGAGAGACAGACGGTGACATTAAAGGTATAGTGGATGATTTTTGCAAATTTTTTGCAAAGACCCGCCATCTCCACTTTAGAAAAAAATTGCACAACACATGCACAACCCTGTACCTAATCCTGAAACACCGAACAACTATTAAACAAGTGTGAGAGCATGCACAAGCCCATTTCTCTCTGTTTAAAGGTTGCTTTTTCCAAAAGAAGATTTGCAATTTTTCCACTATGTCAGACTCACCCCAGTAAGTGAAAATGGGGAGGAGCACATAGGGTTGCCTTATGTAAACATATCACCAGAATGATTGACAATTAGTAGGACCACTTATTTTGATGATCCACCCGGAAAAAGAACATCCTCCAATATACCTTTAAAGTAAATATTTTTCCCCACTGATTAAATTGTAGCTACTCCTCAAACCTATTGAGCTGTATCAGCTAAGATTGAACTCAATACAAAGAGACAAAAAAAGCACAACCCCCCACCCCACCCCATTTTGTGGTAACTCCAAGTGGTTGAGAGTCCAAACAGAGAAACAAAGCTACCAGAAAATTCCCATTTTTCTGAAGTCGTCCAACAGCTAATGAGCTTATTCATGGTTTTCAGCAGCTGTCTTTGAACGTAACATTGTCATTTGACCTCTTGACAAAAGCCCCACCTTTTTAATGCCAGTCAGGCGTTATTTACTACTACAGACCTGGAAGATCTGGAACTATCATAATAAACGGGAATCTTATAGAACATTTGATAAATTCAATAAATTAACGTAAAAAGTGAGCACTGGCATAAGGTTCAAAGGCTCATAAATTATTTATAAAGTTATTTAAAGGATAGGGCTAAGTTGTGCCTAAATTGGAGGCCATGAATCTTTTTTTAAAAAGATAACTAGATGTGTGCATCAAGGCTCTCATCCTTTTATTTTCCAATGTTATTTTATTAATTGTGCTTACATTTTCAGGCTTAACTCCACTCTATATGCCGATGAAGCCATCATGTCTGCATACGTCTGCCCACTCTGCAGCAAAAGTAACAAAATACTTAAAAACAAAATTTTTAAGTTTATAAAAGACCCTGCAGTGTCTAAACCTTTGTTTTCTATTCACAGAAAACATAATTAAACTTTTACTGAAAGCTCAGTTTGAAAATCTTGCAATCTTAAAATCCTCACCCTTGATGGTATGTCCATTGATAAATGAATAGTATGTACGATTAATTAACACATTTATTAAATACATATCGATCAAAGATAAGTTTTCATTTAAGGAGTAAATCCTGTTTTACAATCTTTGATCAAATATAGGCTTATGGAAAACTTTTAAAAACACTTGATCTAGTCTACCATGACTCTACAGTTTATTTCCCTCACTAACTCAAATCTGCATCCTTTATGATTTGGTTGACTTGATATAAAGTTTTTTTTTTTTTGGTAGGTAACGTCACTAGTTTATGTGAATCTCTAAATCTTTGCTGGGTAAATGCCCACAGTATCTCAGCACCCTTCTTTAAGTTCCAACAGGTACCATCTGTGCTTCCAAGTGGATGTTTTTTAAGTCTACCTGGTCTTTAACAGTCTTTAATAAAACAGCACTTTTCTATCATGGAACAACTTTCAAAAATCTCCTAAACACATGCATATCCAGGACCTATTTCTAAAGAATCCTTAAGGATCCAGTGAAGACTGTTTCTGTTGACAGTCCGCACAATCTAGATTATAATTTAGTATTCTTACCGTGTGATTTTATTATTTTTTTTGTTATTAATATTTATGTTTTACAGTCTTTTGATGGTTGCTGTCTTTGCCAGGTTCCCATTGCAAAAAAAGACTAAAATGAATTGGAATTTCAGGTTAAATTACAGTAACTAATGATTTACAGCAAATTACAACAAATGAAATTCTGTTAATGAAAAAAGGCTAATAAAAAAAAAGTTACCCCAAATCAGGAGTCAAAACTACTGAACAGCTGATCAAAGAGTGATGCATCCAATCATTTCATTTAAAGTTTAGTGGAAAGAAAAACTCTTGTGGAAAATAGGGCAAAAAAAAGGGATCAGCAAAGTGGATTATAGTGTTCGAGGACTGGATGGCCTGAAGTCCTTAAAAGGTCACAATCACATTGAAATATGCAGGACAAGAATTTTGCGATTCATCTTGTTAGGTGGGGTCATGAGACACGTTAGAAATGTTTTACCTGGGGAAAGGAGAAAATGCACAGAACCAGTTCTCAAGTCTTCCAAAATACTTTCAAATCAAAGTGAAATTTGCTTTTAGTTTGAAACCCAGTGTCCCAAAAGATGGAGGGAAAAAGCTGATTTCAACCTCATTGAAGGTCGGGCTTCAGTTTCAATCTACAGTTATATTTTGGAGACCCATGAGATCTACTGGTAAAGGTTAGCAGCACTGCCTCCCTCTGGTAGCAAGGTAACATTGATGCCGATTTATTTTCTAGGCACTTGCTCACACTGTTAAAAGTACAAATATCTCTTTAAAGACCATCGTATGACAGCTTGATAGGCCAGCAAGTTCACTCAGTCTAATATTTATTAAGTTTATACCTGACTAACGGTAAAACTGCTTTAAAACACAGCCCTCTTCGTCGTTAGTGCCAACAGGCAATAATTTTATATCAATTAAATCCCGGATACAAGCGGCTGAAATTAGTTTTCTCCGTAGTGTCTGGGCTCCCTTAGAGATAGGGTGAGGAGCTCAGTCATCCGGGGAGGACTCGAGAGTAGAGCCGCTGCTCCTCCACGTTGAGGAGCCAGTTGAGGTGGCTCGGGCATCTGATTTGGGTGCCTCTTGGACGTCTCAATGATGAAAGGTGAAGACTCAGGACACGCTGGAGGGACCATGTTTCTTGGCTTTCCTGGGAACACCTTGGGATTCCCCCGGAGGAGCTGGTCCAAGTGGCTGGGGAGAGAGACGTCTGGGCCTCCCTACTGAAGCTGCTACCCCCGCGACCCGAGCGGAAGATGGATGAAATTACTAATATTAAGTTGTAAATATTTTTATCCGAGATAAAACGGTAAAAACCTCATTATTTCAAACTAAATACTACCATCAAAAACCACCTTGCTGCCATATGAGTCTTGATAATGAGATGGTAAAGTCAATAACATAGTACTTCTACAGCCCTGTTTAAATTGTTTATTTTTGAAGTTGTTTTCCGTAGGTGATGACTCCTCCCAACATAAAACAAAAAAGTTACAAAATCGTCTATGTAATCAAAATCATGTGTAAGAGACTTCATAAAAAACAAACATGGACACTTACATACACATACAGAAGTGAAAGTAACATAAAGTTGGCAAACTATTGACCCTGTGATATTCATCATTGGGTGCATGCAACCTGACAGTAACTGTAGAATATCTACAAAAAAGTCCAATTAAAGAATGATAAGCATCTAACAACTTCAAAACACTAACAACTCCTGCACATTACATCGTGTGCAACCAGCGAGCGCTGATAGGTGAGACACACCAGATTTCCGGACTCTCTGTTTTTGTGAAGTCACGTAAAGGTTTCACAGTGTAATACAGCAGGATCCCCATCAAACAGTTTCAAGCAAGACTGTATATTTGGAACATACAAAATAAATTTTATTATCCATTCTCTTTATGTCTACATCTTATTAGAATTTCTAGACAATGGCATTGTCAAGTAACACACCCAAATCAATGTCTAACAAACCCGACAGGAGCAACAATGCGGTTCTGTCAAGTCTAGGTGTCAAAATAGAACTGAACATGAAAAGCAATTTAAATCTTTTTTATTGTCAAAATAAAAAGGGGCAGGGCGAGGGGTTGTTCCATGGCCCTGGCTCACAGAGAGAGCTAGGCAGGGCATGGCCATGAGCACACGTTAAACACAGGTGAAGAAGTGGTTTCAGGGCTGGGCCCCGGTGGCTGCGGGGACTTGTGTGGCCAGAGTGTTGGGGGCAGAGATGACAGGGGATCCAGCAATGTTAGCCATTGGCTGTGAGGAGGACATGGAGGTGATGCCTGAGAGCAAGAAGAAGATTACTTATCTGTTAAGGCTCCACTTTACACATTCTCACAGTGCCAAGCAATGTCTGTGACTCACCAGCCATCATACTCGAGGAGCTGACTGGAGTGGAGCTGGCAGCCATGCCCCCAGGAGTGGCCCCCCTTCCCTGATCTTTGACGATAGGATCTGAGAACAC